GTATGTTGATGCTACAGCCATCCACGAGAAGTTACTTAACCCTTTGACTGTCGCAAGCCCCTTTCTGAAACTGTCATTCTATGTCGCAAAAGTTTTGGAAAAAAAAATTATTTTTCCTCATGAAATGATAGAGAATCTTTTCCTGATGGTGATGACACCAAAAGTACGAAATTTGGTCAAAAACTCAGAATTACACTCCTGCGAAGTTAGCATTCTCGGTGACAAATATGTATCGGCAATTTCGCCGACTTTGAGCCCTGTTTTTGGCCAATTCTGTTGTTCCAGTTGACCAAACTCATAGCTATTTCTTTAGAACTCCATTTTTGCTATCAGTTGAGTACAAGAAACCACCCATTTACCAATTTGAACTACCCAGTAAAGTGGTCAGAAATTGGCAATTTGGCCAATTTCACGCAAATTAAAAAAGATGCAAATTTCAAAATAGGGTCCAGAATAAACAATGTAGACATTCTTGGCACTAAAATAACATAACCTCTGTTCATTAGTCACGTCTCTAGGTCCCTCTTATATTATTATTGCTTTCTATTTTGAGTTTTTATTCATACAAAATACAAAATTTACTGTTATGCAGACTAATGCATTATTGTAAAAATGATATAAATAATATCAGTGCACTAGTGAAAGAATATTAGACTCCCCAGTTGACGTGTATTGGACGTGTGGTGTGATTCGCTTACTCCTGAACATTGGTAAAAATCGAACATTTCCGCTATTTTGAGCTCAATTTCAAGGTCGTTTTCATCATGAAAGTAATGAAAATCATCTCTATTTCTGTAATATGTTCTCCATTTTATGAGACCATGAAAATGAGAATACAATGATAAATACTATATGAAAATACACCTCGGTCAGCGATTTAATCCATAAAAGCGGTCAGTTTTTTATTTCTCATTACGCACTTTGTGCTGCAGGACTTTATGTGGTGCACACTGACCACACAAACCCATTCTCTCACATGTGGGCCTACCAGCTTTCTCCTGCTTGATTTGAAGCCGCTAGAATTTACGCCTATAAATACGTCGGAAACAGTGGTGCATAAGACGTATATATACGACGTAAACAGTCAAAGGGTTAAAGGTATGTTGATGCTGCACCCATCCACGAAAAGTTACTTAATTCTTTCACTGTCCAGATCCCCCAAGTTAATATTGCTCTGTGTCCACTTTATAAAAAATATTCTTTCCAATGGCCAAGAATCTTGTTCTGAGAGTAATGATAACTAAAGTACAAAATTTGATGAAAAACTTATGGAATTGCACAGCTACAAAGTTAATGTCTCGGCGCAATTTATGCATTGGCAATTTCGCCCACTTCGTCCTATTTTAAGTCATTTTGGTTGCTCCATTCAGCCAAATTCTTAGTTATTTCATTAGTATGCTTTCTGTCGATTGAGCATGTTTAACATTGACAGGACCTTCCACACAATGTGTGGGAACAGCTACAAATATCAGACAAAACATTGTTAACAGTTCTGCCATTGTTAAACAAAAGATTGGAAAATCCCAGGTCTGTTCCTAGACAGTAACTTGAAATTCAACCCCCCTCACACACACACACACATGGAAATTCGAGGAAATGGGAGGCATAGACGAGACGGGAGAAAGAGACTACATAGTAGGTACACTTCAGTCTGGGGAGCACAAGGTGGTCATTGCAGTGATGTATAATCCACCACAGAACTGCAGGAGGCCAAGAGAGGAATATGAAGAGAGCAACAGAGCAATGGTGGACACACTTGCTGAGGTGGCAAGAAGAGCTCACTCCTGCAGAGCAAAGTTGCTGGTTATGGGGGATTTCAACCACAGGGAGATTGACTGGGAAAACCTGGAGCCACATGGGGGTCCCGAAACATGGAGAGCCAAGATGTTGGACGTGGTGCTGGAAAACCTCATGCACCAACATGTTAAGGACACTACCAGAGTGAGAGGGGAGGATGAACCAGCAAGATTGGACCTTGTGTTCACCCTGGGCAGTTTAGACATTGAGGACATCACGTATGAGAGTCCCTAGGAGCTAGTGACCACGTGGTTCTGTGCTTTGTATACATAGTAGAGTTGCAAGTGGAGAGAGTAACAAGAGTTGAATGGAAAAGCCTGGCTATAAAAGAGGAGACTACATAGGGTTGAGGAACTTCCTGCAGGAGGTTCCGTGGGACAGAGAACTGGCAGGAAAGCCAGTAAACGAAATGATGGAATATGTAACAACAAATGCAAGGAGGCAGTGGAAGGTTTATTCCCAAGGGCAACAGAAACAATGGGAAAGACCAGAACGAGCCCCTGGTTTACCCGACGGTGTGAAGGAGGCAAAAACAAAGTGCAATTGAGAATGGAAAAAGTACATTAGGCAGAGAACACACGAAAATAGGGAGATCAGTCGCAGAGCCAGGAACGAGTATGCACAGGTAAGGAGGGAGGCCCAGCGACAGTATGAAATGACATTAGCATCGAAAATCAAGACTGACCCGAAACTGTTGTATAACCACATCAGGAGGAAGACAACAGTCAAAGACCAGGTGATCAGATTGAGGACAGAAGGTGAAGAACTCACAAGAAATGATCAGGAGGTATGTGAGGAGCTAAACAGGAGTTTTAAGGAAGTTTTTATAGTAGAGACAGGAAGGGCTGTGGGAAGAGAGCACAGAAGGGAACATCAAGAGGGAATATACCAACAAGTGTTGGAGGACATAGGAACAACTGAGGAGGAGGTGCAGAAGCTGCTAAGTGACCTTGATACCTCAAAGGCGAAGGGACCGGACAACATCTCCCCATGGGTCCTAAGAGAAGGAGCAGAGATGCTGTGCGTGCCCCTAACCACAATCTTCAACACATCCCTTGAAACTGGGCAGCTACCTGAGAAATGGAAGACAGCAAATGTAGTCCCCATATTTAACCCTTTGACTGTTTCCGACGTATAAATACGTCTTACAAGCCAATGTTTCTGACGTATTTATACGCATAAATTCTAGCAGCTTCAAATCAAGCAGGAGAAAGCTGCTAGGCCCACATGTGAGAGAATGGGTCCATGGTCAGTGTGCACCATATAAAAAAATCGGGGAGACCAGTGGTGCATTGTGGGAATGCCATTTCAGTTGTCATTTTTCAGCATGTCTAGTGGTAAGAAATATGTGATTCCCCAGCAAATCTGGGACTCTTCTCTTCCCAAGTGATGCTCTAACACAGATGGAAGTGTCAATGAAGATCAATTTCATGATTTGGAGGAGTTTGAGACCAAAAGCAATGGAGGAGGAGGAGGGGGAGGAGGGGAGGAAGAGGAGGAGGAGGAGGAGGAGGAGGGAAGGAAGAGGAGGAGGAGGAGGAGGAGGAGGAGGAGGAGGAGGAGGAGGAGGAGAAGAGGAGGAGAAGGAGGAGGAAGAAGAAGATGTAATAATATTGTTCCCTTGAAGCAAGAAAAAAAAAAGTCACACCCATGACAGTGACAAGATAAGGGGAGATAACATCTGATAAGAGCTGACTTTGATGAGCGTAAAGGAGGGTTAATATTACATGACCATCGCCTCCCTTTGTTTTTGCTGGTACACAAACATTTCTGTCTGTCTATTTGTCTGTCTGTCAAGCTCCTGTCCGTCCATCTAGCTCTCTGTCTCAGAGAGAGCCACAAGACTGTGTCATCACGTTTACTCACATCTTCAAGCAGAGTATAGCACTTTGTCTGGATTTCTTGGGTTATCCTAGGTAATTTACACTATGTATACTTGTATTTATGTGTACCTGTGAGACAGAGATAGGCAGACAGAAAGAGAGACAGATTGAAAGATATAGAATGAGGGAGAAAGATAATTAGATAGAATGGAGGAGGGGAAGCAGCATCCAACCCCATTGTTTTGACAGGGGTAGGGGTAGTGACTAATGAGACAATATGTCACTTTGACAGCTGCCGACTTCTGACTCAAAACAATTATAAGCCACACACTCGCACACAAGACAAGGAGGAGGAGAAGGAGGAGAAGGAGGAGGAGAAGAAGGAGGAGAAGAAGGAGGAGAAGAAGGAGGAGGAGAAGAAGGAGGAGAAGAAGAAGGAGGAGGAGAAGGAGGAGAAGAAGGAGGAGGAGAAGAAGGAGGAGAAGGAGGAGAAGAAGGAGGAGAAGGAGGAGAAGAAGGAGGAGAAGAAGGAGAGAAAGAAGGAGGAGAAGAAGGAGGAAAAGGGGAGGAGGAGAAGGAGGAGAAGAGGAGGAGAAGAAGGAGGAGAAGAAGGAGGAGGAGAAGAAGGAGGAGAAGAAGGAGGAGAAGAAGGAGGAGAAGAAGGAGGAGAAGAAGGAGGAGAAGAAGGAGGAGAAGAAGGAGGAGAAGAAGGAGGAGAAGGAGGAGGAGAAGAAGGAGGAGAAGAAGAAGGAGGAGAAAAAGGAGAAGAAAAGGAGAAGAAGAAGGAGAAGAAGAAGAAGAAAAAGAAGAAAAAGAAGAATTGTTTGTTTGTTTTTTTTAAACAAGTTTTGTAAACAAAAATATTGATAATTATGTTTGTGTGCTTATTGTGTTGTATACAACGAGTGTATATATATACATTGCACCTTACTTTGGTCTCATAGGCCACATAAGTATGTGAAAAAATAAAATAGTGAAAAAAAACAACAAACCTTCAAATACAAGTAAACTAAAGTTTACCAGGTGAGCGGCAGTCGCCGCTGTTGCCTACGGGGCTCATTTTCTGCAAACTTCACGGCTCTATATCTCGGTAAGTACCGATGGCAAAAATTTTTTTTTTGGACTAAAACACTCAGAAAAATAATTTAACATTTTCATAAAAAAAAAATAATTTTTTTTTTTTTTGAATATTTGGCGACATAGAATGACAGTTTCAGAGAGGGGCCTGAAACAGTCAAAGGGTTAAAAAAGGAAACAGAAATGAGGCACTAAACTACAGACCTGTGTCTCTGACATGTATTGTGTGCAAAGTCATGGAGAAGATTATCAGGAGAGTGGTCGAACACCTGGAAAGGAACAAGATTATAAATGAAAACCAGC